TCCAATGTTTAGCTCGGACTACGCTGGACAGGTGCCACGGTATGGGCCGAATCAGTGCTCTTCGTTGCAGAGCCATGTCTGTGACCACGGCCAACGAGCTCGTGCGAAGTATCCGGCGGTCTGCCATCCTTCCGGCTACGACTAGACGTCCTCTTTGAGCGGGCCCGCTTGCTAAGCCCATCCCGAGCTTTGGCGTGTTTCCAATCCTCAGCCATGCCGTATCGGATCTTGATCCCTGCTAATACATGAAATGAGTGAGTCGGTAATTATTTATAACCAAATCACATTGAAGCTCACAGGTTACCGCCGCTGCCAGGAGCGCATAATGATCTGCGAGTTTTCGCGACCCCTTCAACCCCGGGATGAGTGAATGTTTCTTTCCAATGGCCAAGTAGATCTTTTTATGTTGAGACTCCTGAGGATTCGTTGATTTTGGAATACATATGTGTCCAAATGACTTCTTTCTTGCGTTACGAGCCCGATCCATACGGACATCGGTAGCTTTTAGGCTGTCCCTCGGCGACGCCAATCTTCTGCACGAATCAATCTCCGGAGATTTTCCCATGAGGGCTTATCGTGATAGATTATACGCCACAATCTTGCGACTCTGTCGTGTAAGAAGGATTTGGCTGGGAGAGCATGCCCCTTGTAAAACGCGGTTGAATCGCAATTCGAAGCTCATGGACGAGCGTCCAATCCGCAGTAATACCCGATCTTGGTATACAAGAATTCCATAATGCTTCCGACGTCTACGAGTGCGATTGCCGGAGGGAGTCGTAAGTGGGAGGGGAGGACAAGAAATCTGTCCCTGCAAGACCCCTGGGGCCCACGGGCACGCTATAACGACCCGTCGGATCTTAATACAGCAAGGTTGTCGACCATGGCAAGGCGGCAAAATTGAGGGTGTGAGGAATATCAATCATTTAGCTCCTGTCGGAGTTCGCGCTCATCATCAGAACAGTTGAACGTATATGAGATCACATCTGATAAAAGAAGAGGTCCGTCTCACCTACGCCTTACACTCGCCGATATCTACCCAACATTGGGGTAGTGACCTGAGTTGCGTGGGGCGTCAAGCTCGGGCTAACGTCGAGCCACGCCTGAAGATGCCTCTGCACTTCTGTCGCTAAAGTTGGATATCAGCTCCCGCTGTACTTCACAAGTACATTGATTCATCTCAGACTCGTCGGGTCGTTCGGGAAGAAAATGTTTGTCGTCGACGTCCAGAATGGTACTTCGTGATTCGCGGTTTCCAAGCCCCTGAAGCGTATGAGCCTGCGCAGGAGTGAATCGGAATGTAGGGCAGTTGATGGACGAATGCAGGGTCAAGTTGGGGTAAAGCCGATCGCGGCGGCGATCACAGTGCCTACCTTGTCTGGATGTACGAAACCAATTTAGTTCAGCCAACATAATTCACGCACAGCGAGGTGAACAAACTGGTGGTTGGCCCCATCTAGTACTTACATAAAACACTGTTCGTCATAAGCGCGTTCAAAGTAGGACATTGTCGGGATTTCGATTCCGCGAGTCCAGGATGCAAGATCCAGATAAACGCTGAGAGAAAATGTCAAGGAGGTTGGGTATCCATAGCAGCCTTTTGGCCGTCGGTGATCAATCGGCGGGACATGTCCGAAAGGCGACGCGCAGACAGATCCTTGGAGCTATATTGGGAGAGAGGCGACATTTGTGAAGACCGCGTCGTGGGGCGGACTCGAGCGGATCAAAGCAGATAATAGACATAACGAAGTGTAGGCATAGGAAACGTCAGAGCTCGCAGAGGGCTAGAAAAATCCGTTCCTCTCGCATGTCTTTGATTTGAAACTGGACACACACCAGATGAGGTTCCCGTTTCATTGCGAGAGTCCGGTCATCCGTCAAGTCAAAAAACCCCAGAAAGAATTCACCTCGTCTTCCTGATGAGCACAAACGCGCAACTAGAGGTTTCGGAGCATCGCATCACTGAGGAGTACAGAGCGTTATGTATGCTGGGCTAGGCTGGGATCACATCGGCCGCAACGGGGTGGGATCGCGCGGCGGAAGCGAGTTCAAGTCCACGTAACAACGAGCGGTGATAGCAACGGGCCAAGTCGCACATCGGAGTGATCGAATAATTTCTGACTGGAGCGTAATTGTACGGGGCTCGAGGAAGGACTATTGATTCTGAACAGAGTACACGAGTTGTTTGCAAACGACAATAGATCTGCCAAGAGCAGTCAAGTCCCGAGTAGGTGCGTTCCTCATTGGAGTAAAGTGTTCCGGTTAAGTAGCGTCGTACGCCGAGCGCTAGCAATGGGTTGAACTCTCAGATTAGCAGAGAACGAAGTTTTGAGATCCGAGTATGGCCTTGGTGTGGTCAAGTGGAGGGACCGGTCACCGAGGACGAGAGAAGCGGTGCGGTGGAGGCTGTGAGTGCCAAACGTAACATATGATGCCATCACCGCGCTCCAGCCTTTTTCTCCTCAAGTCCTTCCAGCGTCCTTCAGTCCGCCATCGGGAATGATTGTACGCTGTGGCGCGCATTTGGACGCACTCGACACTTCCATTAAAATTCCGCGCGGTAACGGTGGTGTCCACCTTACCCATCGCATCCCGCTGATTTGAACTTTCCAATATCCATCTCAAGACTAAAGTCGCCGCGCCGACGAGGATCTCCCCTCAGGCAACTCTGTACTCCTGGATCATGGGGTGCCCTGGCTTCCAGCCGCGTGGCGGTGGCGACCTGCTTCCACGCAGTAATTAACTTCAAGCTGCTGCACTTCTCCGCATGGCGGCGATCGACCGAAACATCAACGAAGCGACGCACCCCGGCTCCGCCGTTAACAGACTTCCTCTATTCTGGGATATACTTGGCCCTGATCGCGGCCTGCTGTTCTCCAGGCATCGTATCGGCGATCCTGCGCCCATATCATAGCAATCTGGCCTTGATTTGTATCCTTTAACCCTGCACAGGCCCCGTGCTAAAGTCAAGGTTAATCCTTGTGAGCCTCCTCGGAACCCATTTTACAGGCTGTAAAGTCTCGTATCTGGCGTATCCTGGCGCAATTTCAAGATGGCGCGTCCGGACGATGCGGGGACTGTGATGGAACTCGGCGACATCTCTTCGGGTATCTGCCTCGTCCCCGAACCCGACGTCGGGATGTGTATGTTGGTACCCGGAATAGTCCCAACGAAATGGCGGAGAGCCATCGAATGTCGCACCGTACCATCATACCGTCACTCTATCTTAACTCCATCGCTATCCCTGGAAACAGCAAGATCTCTCACTACCTATCAACAATATTTCATCACCCTTTTTTCGACTCCAGCACGCTGACCGTATGAATCAAATACCCTGACAAGGCACTGCCAGATTTACATGCAGTTAGAGTGGCCAGAATTCCCTACCGTCGTCTGCTTTTACGGTAGTATTCCCACTCCGTTGCGCCACTGCCAGCAGGCTCCACCACCCATCCGTCTCTTTGGAACTGTGTTTGGCATACTCACTCATTATCGTCCGGGCGGTGCTTTCCTTGTTATCCTGACGTTAGCGTATCTTCCTCACGGCCTGGAAGTCCCGAACACGACACCATTACACATGCCGACCCAGGAAACGAAGCGCGTGTGTCGCCCGTTGCACTGGCCAGTGGAATTCGAGCACGGCGCCCGAGATGGCGGCGTACGTATGCCGGGGCGAACACAGACCCACTATTTTTCTGCTTGCCGCAATTTGTGTGCGTCGGCTATCTCATGCTCCAACATGGCGTCCGTGACTCGACTTCCCTTGGATGTGCGTGCCGCTCGGCAGGGAAACCAGTGCGGAAACTAACGGCACATACCACTGGCCGAAGCACAAATGCACTTTGTTCAGCCGGGATAACCTGGGAACGCTCTTACTTATACTCATCGGCACGGCAACTAACCTCGCACCTCCTCGATCGCTCTGGCTAATGCTACGACTCATGCAGCGACTGTTCGGGAGGACGGCATTCTGGCTGATCTTGTGTTCTGTGGGACGATGGTCGTAAGTCGCCAGTTGGACTCGGACCTCCCACGAACTGCACCCGCTGGGAACACAATTCTCGGGCTTTACGTTTCCTGCTTGGCAGGTCCCCCGCGCGTGATGGATTTGTTGGATGTCTCCCAGCCCCGGACGTCGGCGAACGGTCGCAGGACAGCGACACTCCCAGGCAGGGATGAACGTGCTACTCCTGTCGAACGGCATGCCGTGTGCGCCGAATTCAATCGACTGCAGTAATTTTGCCAGAGGCCCGGGATCCATCGATCGAGATAGGGGAGGAAAGGATCTGTTATTCTTGTCGTGGCGCGACCACTCTCGGCGAGACCACGGCGCAATACGCGGGTTCGTTAGCACATGTAAGTACGTATTACCCCTTGAAAGCGGGATGCTAATTTAAACCGCGCACCGCGGGGGGTACGCTGTTTCGCTCCGTCGGTGGTCGTGTGCAGTGCAAATTCAATGAGGCTGAGCAAGTATATTTGCGTCCGCTCGGCTCCACACTGACGAGAATTAAAAAGCAAGCGCTTGGAAATTCAATGCATCGGTGGGGAATCAAACGCCGTATCGCCGTACAATTCTCGTTTGGAGCTATGAATTTGGTGCGTGTTCCATATACGACCGGTGCTCTTAGACTTTGATTTCGTTTCTGTGTTTCTCTAAGCAGATGTGGGTGAAGAGAGCTTTTCACGTATATAAAAATCACAACGCAGGAAGGTAGTTCACTTTCAACTTGTCGCCTTCGGAATAAATTCGGGTGCGTATTGCATATACTACCAGCGCGTCGCGTATTATTTTGAACGCGTCGCGGTGTTCCTGAACCCAAAAATACATGGCTAGTCCAACTTCGGATGTCCACGACGTACTATTTCTATTCCGAACCCTCGTAGACACTGAAAGTAATCCGGTCATTCACCGTGCCTTCACCCATCCTACTTAGACCAGTAAATATCGCTATTTGCTCCAGGGTTCGGAGTGGAAGAAAAATACACGACCCCATGGTACATGCACCGGCGGGGAATCGAACCCCGGGTCGCCGCTCAGGTTCACGACAAAGAGTCACCATTACGAATTTGGTGCGTGTGCCATACACTACCGGCGCTTGCTGGTGCTGTTCTGCATCTCCCTGGGTCGACTCGTGTTCGGAGTGAAGATGCGGGGGTTACTAACGGTGTGGGGAAATAAATTGATTATCGAACGACTGGACGATCAACGGCGTTTTCTCCGCACGCTATCTGTGCACCGTATTGATAGCGCTACGCAGTGAAGTGATCTACGCGCGGCCACCGGGGCTGCGCGCGCAAAGGAGCGTAGCGACTCGGAGTGGGTGGCGTAGTATTTTGAATAAAAATATTTTCAACCCAGTCCCCAGATGACTCGAGCGCAGGTTCGAACGTGTCGGGTAATATTTTCATTGGAGCAGCTCGATGTTGCGGGGGAAATGGACTATCGAACGTTGAGCAGTTGAACGCCGATCAGGATGCGATCGGAGAACGCGCGATATCATTATTCGTCGCATACACCCTCACATCCGGGGCCGCGCGCAAGCGAGTACTAGTGGTCGCGTAATATTCCGAGCGCAGGATATGATAGGGGCCTGCGCAATGAACCAGGGCAACCCCATGGGGCCCGAGTCGCGTATTATAATTATCTATCGCCCCCGCGTCATATACATAAGCTGCTCTACCTAAAAATACGAATTAAGGACCCTGCATTGTGCGACATGGGACCCGTAAAGCCCGTAATATATACGGCCGTAATAATACAGTTGGGATCCCTATTCAGAATCGCGAACCGCAGAGGAAAACGGATATCCGGATAGGGGTATTTGGTGGCAAGCGGGCTAAAAGCACTGACTTGGGGTAAGTAACGAGCGACTGGCACCGAACCGCAACTGAACAGGTTGAATGCTTTAAAGGGTGCCGATCGCCGCGGAGCTCGTTCGGCGCTCCTCTTCGTCGGTCGCTGTTGGCTCGTTGCATCATCGCTGCATTGATGCTGTCTTGATTATCAACGCGCCGGGTGGGCGTTCGAATCCACACGGCGGATTATTGACATAATTGAGGAGGGTGACAGCACGGGGACCTTGGTTGAATGTTCATTTCCCACGTACGTCAGACGGGACGGAGATACGCGAGATGAGATCGGATCGGGGACGGAGACGGACGAATTTGTCGTCTACGTTTTCGGTGCCACGGCCAAGCCAGTATAAGTATCGACGACGGGAATGCGGAGGGTGGCGTACCACCATGGACTTGGACGTCTTTGTCACCGATGCGCAGCCTGGGAGTGTGGATGAAGCTGGAGACGATGCACAACGGATGCGAGGACAAGACGCGGAGGACGACGCGCAGACGCTGCTACTGGACGCGCGCTCGCCACATTCGAAGCCTGAATCGTCTTCGCCTTGCCGGCTTTCTCCGCCTTCGCGACTCTCGGCACATTCCCGGCGCCTCGAGCACTCGTCGCCCCTGCTCACCCTCCCGCCCGAGCTCCTCACGCTCATCGCCCTCCACCTCGCCACCGCCCCGCCGAACCTCGGCCCCCCCGCCGCGCTCCTCCCGCTCCTGCGCACGTGCCGCGCGCTTCATGCGCGGCTCGGGTTTGGCGGGAATCCCGCGCTGTGGGGCCGGATTGGGCGCGCCAAGTTCGCACGCGCGTCGCTCGTGTCTGAGTACTCTGCCGACGGAGTACACGGGAACCCCCTCCTCGAGTCCGCACAGGCCCTCCGCGCGCACTGCGTGACGCTGCAAACGCTGCGCACGGGGGATCCGTACGCGCGTGGGGCGGGGGGCGCGCTCGTCGCTGCGTACACACTCCTCGTGCAAGATTCTTGGGGCGCGACGCCGCTTTCTGCATCGCAGGAGGGGATGGGCGCGCTGCCGGAGGCGCTGCGGCCGCTGCGCGCGACGGCGACGAGTGGGGTGGAAAGGGAAGACAAGACGAGCGGGAAGAACAGGAAGCAGCTCGCGTGGGCCGGGGCACGCGAGTTCGCAATGCGGTTTGTCAGGCTTAGGCTGTATGAGGGGCGGTATGGGGAAGAGGACGACGACGACGACGCGGACCCGGCGTGGTACGTAGGCTGGCCGCGGGACACGGCGGCGGGCGCGGCGGCGCTGTGGATACTGTGGTTCTTCGAAGGAGGGGGTGCGTGTCTTCCATTATCCTTCATCTTCGCCCTTCGATCCTTTCCCATTTACACCCTGGGCTTATCCTCCCACTTGTCCATGGTATCCTTTCCTTTCCTACACATTATTTCATCCCGAGTGTCGTCCCTTCCTCAGCCTCCTGTTCCGTCCTGCTTCCTCCCGGAGCCGGGGCCACGGACTCGCGTAGCCTGTTGACGTTGGTCCCAGGCTGATCTTACCTACCTTCCGTCGATCCTTGCATCCACTCGGACCCACTTCTTTATGATCCGCGTCATCCTCTCTTTTTACCCTCGTCCTCCTCTTTTTATGTTCCTTTGCTTATGCGCGTTGTGTGCCCATTTCCTTCGCTTTATCCTCCGCCTTTGAATGCTCGCTAACGACCACCCAAATAGACACCCTCCGCGCTGAGACGGAGCCCGCGCGTCGCGCGTTCATGGCGCTCCTGCTCCCGTTTGTTGTTGCGCTGTTTCGGGTGCGTTCTTTCTCCGATAATTTCCTCTCATTCGTTCCCTTTCTCGTCCTTCATACACTCCGCGCATACGCCTGCCCTTCATGTCCGCCTCGTCCCTCTTCTCGTATATCCGTCACCCGTCCCATTTTACTTGTACTGCACGTGTGTACGCGTCCTGCCGTAAACGCATGCTATATGCCGCCGCGCTCGGCGCTCGGCGCTCGTGTGCCGTTGCGCGCAGCGTTAGCGCTGGTCATCATCCATCATTCACTATATCAGCGTCCGCGCCGGCGTCGGGGTCTTATTTCACCCTCCTTTCTTCGTCGTTTCCCCCTTCCAATATAGGCATAATGCTGACGCATCGTACAGTACCCCTCCACGCTCTGCCCCCCGCACCACTACTCCGTGCCGCTCCTCCCCGCCGTCGCGTCCGCCGCGCTTGGGGCGGGGAGGGAGGGGAGGGCGATCACGGTGCCGACGCTGCACGGCGCGTACCCGATTTATCCACTCAAGGAGGAGCGATACGACAGCGACGCGGGTGATTCGAGCGGGTCGAGCGAGGGGGACGACGAAGACTCGGATACCTTCGCACCTGGACGATCCCGCTCCGGTCGTTCCAGAAGCCCACCTTCACGCCGCCGACATTCAGGCGAGCGGCGCGCACCCGGCTCCACCTCCGCGCAGCGTCCTCCATTCCGACACCCCGGCTCGAGCCCCGACTCCGTTTCGCGCCGCCGACGATCACGCTCGCCGCTTCCTCGACGCCCCAGCTCTGCACGACGGCGGTCCCGCTCTCCACCCTTCCCCACCTTCCGACGCCGACCATCGGGTTCTCGACGTCTACAGTCCTCTTCGAGAAGACCCGACCCCGCGCGCACCCTCCTCACCGCGCCCCCCGCGCGGCTCCTCTTCTTCGCGCGCATGCAGGCCGGCCGGCGCATGGGCGCGCCGCCGCACCTGGCGCAGGACCGCGCGGAGGCGGGGGCGCGGTGGGCCGCGAGCGGCGGGACGGGCCCGCAGCCGATCGGGCCGACGCAGGAGGATGTCCAAGAGAAGAACGCGCGCCCGATCGTGCGGTTTGAGCGCCAGCTTCCGAAGGTGCCGCTGCCGCCGCGTGTTGCGGCGGCGGGGCCCGTCGCGGCCTCGGACGACGACAACGCCGATGCGGATCCACACACACCGGCGGCTTCGACTTCTGCGAACGGTTCTGGGGCTGCGGTGGCTTCCCCGGCGGCGTCGCCTCCCGTCGATCCTGCGGCGCTCGCAGCGCATGCAGCTGCTCGGGCGGAGGCGGAGGCGGAGCGCGCTGTCCCGTTCTTCGCAGCGGACGAGGACCTCGAGGATGGGGCTGAGGCACGCGGCAACGAACGCTGGGCGGCCCACGCGTGGCGGGCAAAGCTTTGTCGGGGGTATGGGGATCCTCCCTCGACCTCGGCTGCGGGCACGGGCGCGGGCGCTGCCTCGACTTCGACCTCGACTCGACCAACCGCAAGGCGCCGCAGGGAACGCATTCGGCAGCAGGAACGCGCTCGGGAGGAGGAGGAACGCACGCGCGTGGGGCGGGGTGGGGCGGCGCCGGGGCGGATTGGGCGCGTGTACGAGCTGGGCAGCTTTGCGGGGCTGTGGGCGGGGACGATGCTGGTGAGTCTTTTTTTTGTTTTTTCGAGTCCTTCCCCTTCCCCTTTTCCCGCATACGGACATCGCACTCGTCCTACTAGTACTCGTCTGACCCACTACCTTAAATCCCCGTCTTTATCATCCGATATCATCCACCACATGCACTCCTCCATCCACGTCCGCCGCTCTCCTACCGATACCATACGAGCAACACCCTCCTTTTTATCATTCTCCTCCACACAATACCGTCCTCCTGCTCGCCCCTCCTTCCACTGTCCATCCTTACCTCTTTCGTTGCCTTTCTCTTCCGCCTTGTTCCGCCACGCAGACGCTTACACCCCCCTGCAGATGCCATCCGAGCAGTTCTACACCACCCTCCTCTCCGCGCCGGGCGGCGCCTTCCCGCGTGACGGCCTCGTGCGCGACGACTTTATCACGGTAGCACGGCCAGTGTATATGCGCATTGCGGAACACCATTCGTGAGTCGTCCCACTGCATACCCTTCGCCGTCGGCGCTGCCGCGTCCGTCCCCTTCCTCTGCTGTTCCTCCACTCCCTCCTTCTTTTTGGCTCCAAAACTCTCCGCGCTTCATACATCCGCCTCCACCGTTCTCCCCCGCTCCATCTGCTCCATCCTTCTTCCTCTTCCCCTCTAAATATCACTAACACTACCCACAGATTCCACCCCCACACCCCCGTCCCGCCACCGCCGCCCGACAGCACCACCGGCGACGAAGGGATGCGCGCCGGCTGGCTCCCGCGCGGCGCGCGCTTCCTCCCGCTCTCCGCGAACCAGATCGAGATCCGTGTCCCCAACGCGTCGTTGACGCCCGGCGCCGCGCCGGGGTCGTTCGAGGCGCAGTTTGGGTACGCGGACGCGGATATG